ATATGAAATAAATATGAAATTAGATGACAATAAAAATTAATTAAAGTGTTATTTAAATGAGTTATAAAATAAGATAGAAATTTAAACTTACAGCGATCCCGCTAAATGCACCAGCGATGGAAATTAAAGTCATGAAGATAGAATACCTTAAGGTTAATTCTTTCCTGGCATAAAATAAACCAACATATTCTATTACAGATGGGGGAAAACCAGCTTCAGCCATTCCTGTAATAATTTAAGAAATTAATAAATGTTTTTAATAATAAATTAACATTAATTATAATTGAATTATAATTAAATGAAATTGAATTATAATGACAACCTAATAAAAATCTAACAATTCCTAATTGGACAACATTTGTACATGCAGCTTGACTCATAGAGGCAGCGGCCCAACAAAACATTATAATTGGTATCCAAATAGGAAAACCTAATATTTTAGTCATTAAGCTTGCAGGGATTTCGAATATCATATAAGCGATGAAATACACAGCTATAGCAAAATTAAAAGCTGCAGGAGAGGAATTCAAGTATTTGTAATCAAATCCAGCTATAGCAGCATTCCCTATGTTAGCACGATCGATGATGCCTAACAGGTATAGTACGGTCAATATGGCTAATTAAGGGAAATTTTATATGTGAGTAAAATCATAATCTTGAAAAAAAATAAAAAATAAAAAAATAATAATAATTTTATAAAGGTTTAAACATACGCAGCATATAGAAATCACTCTTTCTAACAATCCTTCGCTCTAAAACTTTATCATAATTTTCATCTTTTAAGTTTTCATCTTTTGGTTTTTTGTCTTTTGGTATTTCATCTTTTGGTTTTTCATCTTTTAAGTTTTCATCTTTCAGGTTTTCATCTTTTGGTTTCTGTGAATCATCTTGTACTTCCGACATTTTTTTTCTTCGTAAAGTTTGTATGTTCAAGAGAGTTCAAAATTTATGAAAGTTTATATACATCTATTATTTGTACGCATGTAAATCGTACGTAAATCGTTATGTATATAATACGCATATTAATAAAGAAAGAATTATTTCTGTAACGTGATTTTCATGTCGGTCGTTGAG